TTGACTTTCTGGGGAAGCTGGCAGGGAAGGTTGCAAATGGCGATGACATGATTGTGGGGCACTGCAACCATTCGTAAGTGCGAACTGATTGCCAAGTGCCCACATCATGATCACGTGACCACAGGGATGCTGAGGACCAGTTGTAACCATCATTTGGTCGCCATGGTTATAACTTCAAATAGTTGCTGAACGAATGATCGTAGGTCGAGAACTACCTGTAGATACTTTATATCTACCAATTCATAGAATAATCAAACAGGTATGACCTGTTGCAAAGAACTTCTGTCTAAAAGTAATTTATTTAATTAGAAGAAAGAGGTTCAATTCATGTGCATTCACTCATCTGAGTAATGTAAAAAAAAAAAGACTTTTAATTCCTATAAGCCAACAGAGTCATAAGATTGTAAGAATCCTGCTTAGTATTCACAAATATAATAAATGGGATCACAACAACTCATGTATTTTTAACATTTCAACTTTATTTAGGGCTTCAAGTATTCCATTGGCACAAACATCAGTGAATTTGAGTGTTTAAGGGTAACACAAAGTACAGGCCTGTGTACTGTGTGACCCAAGCCAAAAGCAACCCAACATCCATTATAGGTTGTCAAAACAAGACCTTGGATTTTATAGCTCCAAACAAAATGAAAAGAGCAACAGATGCTTATTCAGCTTTAGAGTCAGAATTTGTAGAAGCCTTTGAAAGTAACTTTTTTTTTCACTAATCTGTTGCTCCTATCTAAAAGGGTTCTAAGCAGTTTGCATTCCCTTCTTACAATAAGGTTAAAAAATCAAAATAAACAATATCACAATTTAGAGTTATGGAAATTCTGACCCATTCCTGAACACTCAAGGAATCAAACCCATGACAGAGTTTTGCACATATAGCCATACATTTCTTCTACAATTACAATCCCTCCTTGACACCCCAACACACAGACAGACACACACACAGCCTGAATAATTACGAGCATGTCACTACATGTAGCAATATTGGTTAGCTTTGTCTTTCCAATTTGTTATAATGCAAGACTGGGCCAACAGAATGTGTGTGTACTACTTATCTAATTTTTCCAGGCTGATAAATTGCAAGAAGGCCATGCAGAATTTGCTAAACAGTAGACGGTATGTTTGTAGATGCACAAACCTAATTAACAAAGGTATTTAGTTGCATAATGGGGGCAGAAGTATTATAGTAGAATACTATAGAAATATTGTAGTGTTTTGTTTGATAGAAATAAGATAGCTGTTACAGTGCCCCACTTTGTGTACAATAAATTTGATCTGAGTAAGTGACCAAAAGCCAGGATTTCTTTGGTTGATCTTAGGGTCATCTCTGGACACCAACTAGTTAATTACAAGAATGCAATTAACATGCATGTTTTTGTTTGTTATAGAAATAAAATCAAGGAGAACCCTCAACACCCCTGGGATTATGGTAGGAAGGGACTTTTCATTCTGTCTCCAGCCAGAAATCACCTAACTAAAGTTGTTATTTGCATTTCTTTTGAAGTTTCCATTGGCAGAGTGGCAGGTAAATAAAGAACCAAAGCTTTTTCTCTCCAGAGGGCACACTTAGAAGCTGTTTGTGCATTTCTTCAGCTGCCACTTACATCACAAAAAATGTGCACATAAATTTAATTCATTCATTTAATTAAGGTCATGGCTGGTTTGGCTCTAAGTTGGTAGTAAACATTTCTTCTGTTGCGACAACATGACAGAATAAAGATAAACTTGTATTACCCCGCAAGGGCTGCAGGATTTCTATCTGCAAATTAAGCAGAACAAGATAGAGAGCAGACCTGACTCTGAAATACCCTAGTATCTTTTGTACAGTAATGCTGAAGTGGATTGAAGTAGATGAATAAATAGTAAATTAAAAATTATCAGGTTTGGAAACCCACCCTTGCTCTCTATATAAGGAGACAAAGAAGTACAAAAAGCTTATTTGAATTGTTTGTTTGTTTGTTTGTTTCTTCCAAGAGGCTCATGAATTACAGCATTTAGTCACTAGCTCTGATGTAAATCAGTCCAGGTGGAGAATTCCTAAATCGTAGTATATACAAAACCTCCCCATTCTAATAATTAGGGTAAATCCTTCCCATACAGGAGTCTCCTAGAGAATATTCATAGGAACAGAGAACAGACCAGCATTTGGGCCCGAGGAGCTCAGCACACATATTAGAGTGCTGAGGTTTGAGCCAAAATGCCTACAAATCATTTTCTTAAGTTATACTTAAAAGAGTTTCAAGAAGCCTCTCAAAGGATCTAGCGATTGTGATACGGGTTTCATGTTGAATTCACCTGAAAGCCAATCAGACTTTAATCCTGCCGATGATTTGCTTTGCTTTGTTGCAGTTAACATTTGCATAGGTCATTTAGAAAAGCCACCTTTCTAAGCACTACAGGTAGTCCTCACTTACCAACAGTAATTGAGACTGGGAACCCAGTCACTAAGCGACAAGGTTGTAAGGCACAGCATCACATGACCATACCGACTTATGGTGGCAGTTCCGGCAGTCCCAGTTGCCATTGTTAGGTGAATCCTGTGCGGTTGGAGTGTCCCACAGTCACATGATTATCATTTGTGACCTCCTACTGGTTTCCCCATTGTCTTTGCTTGTCAGCAGTGAAGGCCACAAATGGCAATCACAGGATGCTGCAACTTCGTAACTGTGAGCCAGTTGCCAACCGCCCAAATCACGATCACATGACCGCGGGGACACTGCAATAGCCGCAACTATGAGGACCCATCCTAAGTCCTCCTTGTTCAGTGCCCTCATAACTTTGAATAGTTGCTGATCGAGTGGACATTAAGTGAGAACAGTCTCACTTGCAACAAGAACCATAGGATGTAGTAGGAGGAATATCAGTTCTTGGCATCCAGTAGGTATCTGATGAGCCAGTTCAGCTCCTTGATCTTCTTAAAAAATAATCTGGTGCAATGCTAGGTATCTCAGTTTTGCCATAATTTAAGTTTCCAACAATGTGGGCTCAATAAATGTTTGTAGGAAACAATGGATAGTTGCTGCCCAGTAGTTTGCTTTGAAATATGCCCACCCTTCAAGATTTGCCTTTTATGGACTTTGTGACTGGCTGGGCTGCTATCGCAGCCATTTTTTAAAATGGGAAGACTTGTCCCCTATTTAACAAAGTCTGTCACAGCTTTTAAAAGTCTTAATTTGCTTGTCAGCCTCCAAAACTTTCCTTCTCCTGCCCTATAAAACCCAACTCCTAAATTACACAATGTATACAGGTAATCCCCGGGTTAAGAACACCTGGTTTACAGTCAATCCATAGTTAAGTACGGAGCCTATTGTGGCAAAATTTAAGTTAAATATGCAATACTACTTATACAGTATTATACAAAAATACTGTTCCAGCTTACATACAAATTCGACTTAAGGACAGACCTTGGGAACAGAACTTGTTTTTAAACTGGGGACTACCTGTATAAGGAATAAGGAAGGGAATGATGCACCAAGGTGTACTAACCCTTTGATAGTTGCTTTTGAAAATAACTCCTAATAATAACTTATCCTGGAAGTCCAAATGATTAGTCTAATTTAGAACTAAACATTCCTAAATTGGATTCCATGAGCATCATGGACACATCATGCAGTCATTCATCTGATGAACTGAAGTACAGCTGAAATGCTGTAAGCAGTAGAACAATCCCACTGAAATTTATTTAGATTTTCATGCAACAAATTTTTGCATTAGAATCTAAATAATTCATATTTTTCATGTTTGTTTGTTTATTTACAGGACCTATACCTTGCCTCAATCCCAGAGGACTCTGGACAACATAAAACAAATATAAACAAAAACATCCCCATCACAAGAAACAGGCGATCAAAAAGCAAAAGCAATTTCCAGACAGGCACCTCTCAACCAGTCAATTGGGACTCAAAGTTCATTGGAACAAAACTGCTCTGAGTTGTTTATGAAACATCAGAACATTATATTAAGGGTGTGTTGCTTTATTAAAACATATCGGTACAAATGGGACTTGCAACAAAATGTTTAGTATACCTATCGGTTAAGAAGGCTTTCCTCCAACCGCTCTGTCCCCTGTCTACGCCCTACGCCCCTGGATTGGCATTCTCTTCTCCTTCCATCACTGCAGATTCCATGGCCACTCAACCTTCTCAGTTTTTATTCAATTGGTTTTTATACATTGTTTTTTTCCTGATCATGAAAAGGTTCCCCTATCTGAGTAATGTTTCCTGAAAGGGTCTTCTTTCGGGGAAACTTCTGAAAATCCTAGGGTTTCCAAAAGCATGCTGATATTTTCTTTCTGTGCTTTATCAATGGAGAGGTTCCTTATCACCTCTAGATTTTGAAAAATAAAGGAAAGATACATATAAATACTGCCAGCATTTCAACAGAAGTCCCTGTTTTAAATGTTTGAAGAAGGGAGGAGGGAAATCCTATCATTCATGTTAAGAGTAGGGGAAAGGCTATCTTTAATATTTTCCATTCCCTTCTCCTTTCTTTTCATACTGCTGCCAAAATAACTGAAGATTAAAGCAAGCACTTTGCTCGCTTGCTCACTGATGAAAAAAAGTTAATCAGCCATTAAATTTTGATTCAAAGATTTTCCATAGTTCAGAGGTTCTCTTGTTTATGGGTAACGCAGACATGTAGACAACAATCCTTTATTTACCTAAAATGAAGGCTGCGAAGGAGAGGACTGCATAAGGTTACTGTACCTAGGTTGAAAAAAAAACACCCTAGATGGCAGCAAAATAGTACAAAGTACTCTTAACTCTTTGCTGCAACTTAGTGGTCATGCAGATTTTTGCAGTCCAGTTATGATAGCTCTATAATTGCTGTGTGAATGCCAGAAAACTCATCCACACCATCCTATTGCACAACAGTAATCCTAGATGGAATCAGACCCAATATAATTACACAAATAGGAGCATGCTTGAATGAATGTAGGAAAACATTAATGGCCTGTTTGTTTGTTTTTTATCAGTCCCCCACAATTTTCTTTTTTTATTTATGTAATAACAAATGTTTTCCTTTTACTGTTATCATTCCCCCAAGATGACTAAGCAATTAAAAGAAGTATTACTTGGTGAAGTAAGTTTTCAAGGTTGCCACCTCATGTGTACCTACTGATTTCATATTGGCATCTCTTCTTCTTCCATGGAAAAGCAAAAGCTGTTTTACATTGGGTTTGGTTAGAACAGAATTATTTGCTGTTCTTTTTTGGGAGAGTAAGGTCTTGCACTGGGGGTGGGTGGTTTGTAGAATGAAGTTTTCCAAATTGGGTTGTTTCTGTCGTGTCTGGGAGCTGGTCTGTCTTCCTTTTTAAACCCAATTAGTTGTATTGGTGGTTACTATCATTGTCCTAAATCAGTCCCAAGAGAACTATTGCATCAGTTAAGAACATAAAGCAATTACCATCACAAGTGTGTGTGTGTGTGTGTGTGTGTGTGTGTTTTAGAAGGCTTGATATTAATGGTAGCTCTTCTCTTGGAAGGGAAACCAAAAAGGAAATGTAGATTTCTATGCTAAGGAGAGCTACTACATTTTGAAATTCACTGAAATCTCTTAAGAGAATTCCGGATCTAAGAGAAAGTCATGGGATTTTATTACAAAGCATAGAAGTTCACGGGGGGAGGCAAATGAAAAAACATGCATTGTAATGTCATAATCCAACCTCTTTTTGTACCTGTGTCACAACATCACACACATATACATAAGAGAGAAACTTACACGCTGATGCCAGTTCTGAAGAAAGCTCTGGATTCAGTGGCTGCTTCTGCTTCAAAATAGGTATATCTAGGTCTACAAACAACATGACAACATTTTTGTTATTAAGGGGGAATCATACCTATAATTAATAGCAAATCACAATATCGCACAATATTTATATTGTATGTATCCAACAACACTAGTTCTCTAGGCAGCTCACCCAACACATTAAAATACAATATATGTTGTATTATAATTAAAACATATATTTATTTGCACAATGTGATTTGGTGGCTTTCTGTGTTCATGTGGATATGTTTAATTGAAAGGAGAGGTTTTTCTGGTATCTACTTAAGACCACAGACCTGTCTGATTCTACAGTTTACAAAATGAGCACAATCATGATATCAGCCATATTAGCTTTCAAATCAAATTAATCTTTATTACGGTCAAAGACCAGCTTAACCATATTAGTTTTGTCTCTATTATTTCATATGATGCTGCTCCCCTTCATGGATCACTGCCTTGTCATGGCTAAGGGGCTTGCATAACTCAGTGAAGCCATGAGCTATGCTGTGCAGGGCCACCCAAGACGGACAGGTCAAGACAGAGAGTTCTGACAAAATGTGGTCCACT